CCAAGGCTGCATTTAGAGACCACTCTTCCCATGGGCTCTTTTTTGCAAGTTCCACTTATTGTGTCAAGTAATTATTCTACTAAAGACTTCTATTAGATGTTTATGGTCTGCTATATGCACTATATTGCCAAAAGTATTGGGCCGCTTGCCTTTACACGCACATGAACTTTAATGGCATTCCAGTCTTAGTCCGTAGGGTTCAATATTGAGTTGGCCCGCCCTTTGCAGCTATAACAGCTTCAACTCTTCTGGGAAGGCCGTCACACAAGGTTTAGGAGGGTGTCTATGGGAATGTTTGACCATTCTTCCAGAAGCACATTTGTGAGGTCAGGCACTGATGTCGGGGGAGGAGGCCTGGCTCACAGTCTCTTCTCTATTTCATCCCAAAGGTGTTCTATGGGGATGAGGTCAGGACTCTGTGCAGGTCAGTCAAGTTCCTCCACCACAAACTCACTCATCCATGTCTTTATGGACCTTGCTTTGTGCACTGGTGCGGAGTCATGTTGGAACTGGAAGGGGCCATCCCCAAACTGTTCCCACAAAGTTGGGAGCCTGAAATTGTCCAAAATGTCTTGGTACAACACTTGAAATCACTGAGCTCCTGGGAGCGACCCATTCTTTCACAAATGTTTGTAGAAGCAGTCTGCATGCCTAGGGGTTTGATTTTATACACCTGTGGCCATGGAGGTGATTGGAGCACCTGAATCCAAAGATTTGGAGGGCTGGCCCGATACTTTTGGCAATATAGTGTGTGTGTAATAGAAATGAAAGATGGTTTCCTGAACTGAAAAAAGTTGTCTGGCCCCTTTAAACATCGGTCTTGTTAGCTGCTCAACCCCTGTTGAGTTTATTATTAGACATGTGCAGTTCATTTTGTTTTGATTTGAAATTTGGACACAATTTTCCTTATTCTGAGATTCTGCCATTTGTAAACCCTATAACTTTTACGCAAACCAATTAATTTACACATATTGGGATTTTTTTTAGCAAAGACATGTAGCAGAATACATTTTGACCTAAATTTATGACGAAATTTGATTTTTAAAATTTTTTTACTAGACATGTTTAATATCAAAAAGTCAAAAATATTGTTTTTTCTAAAAATTGTCGGTCTTTTTTTTTATAACACAAAAAATAAAAATGCACAGGCGATCCAATACCACCACAAGAAAGCTTAATTCGTGGGGAAAAAAGAACGTAAATTTCATTTGGATGCAGCGCTGCATGACCAAGCAATTGTCAGTCAGTAAATCCTCTGGAGGGTAAGTGGTTAAAAGGAGTGTATTTTTCTCAAAACATTGCTTTTGAAAAACCGCCGCACAAATACTGTGTGAAATAAAAACATGGAAAAAAAAACTGTATTCTCTAGGCTAGGGCCTCTGCTTTTATATATATATATATATATATATATATATATATATATATATGTTTGTTGGTACTAAGACATTTTCCAGGAAAAAAATACTGATTTTAAATTGTAAACAAAAAGTGCCAGAAGTGGCTTGGGGCCAAGTAAATGTGCAAAAGGAAAAAGGTAAAGTAAAGGTAAAAGACCCCTTGTACAAAAGGAACTAGTAATTACAACAAATGTTGATGAAGTTCAACAAAAAATAAAAAATACATTGCATCCATAGAACATGCATTTGATCCATAGGAAGGAAAAAATCCAATTTGCTCCAAAAGGAAAAAAAAAATCCCCAAAGGCAATCAAATAATAAAGAAACATTTCGCAATGTTATATGCTGAAAATATTATCGTATATTGTTGAAATATATTATCATGCATTGTTTAAAGCTAAACAGTAGCAGTTTTAAATGTCAAACAAATGTACTAAAAATACCTAAATCAGAAAAAGAACATTTTGAAGAGCTTTGGCCAGTTGACAGTCATGCTTCTATTATAGGTTGATATAGGTCATTGACTCACCCAAGTATTTTTAAAATAACTTGAGGGTTTCAACAGCAGTACATTTCTTGGTCTTCTCCTCAACAGCACTACTGTGAACCCTAAAAAAGCCACTTTGGTTTCTACCAGTTTCAGAACAAAGTCCCTTAGTGATATTTGGAGCAGTTGGATGCAGACAGTGATTACGGCAAATATTTCACCGGTTTTGCAATATTATAAGAGTAGGGGTGGCCTGTTCCTTACAACAACTGTTCTTGCTATCTATCCAAGTAGCTAGAGCTTAACTAAACAGCTAGCTAAAAGGTATAATGTCAATAAATAAATGCCTGCAACTAATATACTAAAAAAAAAAAAAAAAAAAAAAACAATAAAGAACATTTGTTAGAATTATAAAGGCTTTGGCCAAACTTTAGTGACATTTCTGTTATAAGTTGATATTGGTGGTTGACTCCACTGGTTCACTTGAGGGCTTCAACAGAAGCATTTTTCCTTGTCTCTTCCTTTTCACCACTGCTGTGAAGCCAGGAAAGGTACTTAGGCTCTTCCAGTTTTAGAGGTAAGTCCGTCAGTGGTGGTTCAAGCAGTTGGATGTAGACAGGGCCAAAGATTTCAGAGTTGCAATGGATTGGATTATGGGTGGCCTGATCCCTACAACAACCCTTCCTGCTATCAATCCAGGTAACTAGAACTTAACTAAACTGGTAGCTAAACAGTACATTGTCAATATTATATTTCTGCAAATAATATATTAAAAAGAAAAAAAATGAAAAAGAAATATTTGCAAGAATTATAAAGGCTTCAGTCAAACATTAGTTAAATTTCTGTTATAGATTGATATTGGTGGTTGACTCACCCACTGGTTTTAAACAACACTTGAGGGCTTCAGCAGAAGCATGTTTCCTGGTCTCCTCCTTTTCTCCATTGCTGTCAAGGTATTTAGGTCCATCCAGTTTTTGAGGTAAGTCCCTTAGTGGTGGATTCGAGCAGTTGGATGTAGACAGAGGCAAAGATTTTTACCAGTGCTGCGATATAGAGGAGTAGGAGATGGTCTGATACTTACAACAACCCATCTTGTTATCAATCCAGGTAGCTAGAACTTTGAATTCTTAGCACATGTTGTAAGGCCATGCCACATTTCCAGACATGTCTCTTTTAGTTTTGAATTGCTTGCTATGATAAAGGCTGAATGGAGTAATGGTGGAGCGTTCATAACAATACTGCTGAACACTTTCCAGGGGCTGTCTCCAGCATGTGAAAGAGACACAATTAAACTAGCACCTGTAAAAAACAGCATTTGACAAAATAAGAAGAAGACCATACTCTTTACAACATTGAGGTGGACCTCTAGATGTGGGTTTACAAAGCTTGTAGCACTGCTTCTCATCTGTATAATGTGTATCCAAAGAGATCGAATTAATAGACTGACTGCAACACTACATATTATTAATGGGAATGAAGAGGGCACAAAGAACATTATCAATTGGTTCTGGTCCTTTGTTATTGAAACTTCATGCATGGTCATATTGTTCATGGCATCAACTGTTGCATTTTGTGGCTCTACATGCACAACACACCAACTAGCTGTAAGGCTGCAAATCAGAGATATCAGAAGACACGCCATCAATAACCAAGGGACTAGTCTGGAGATTCTGGGCTTCAGAAAGGTGAATAATTTATGTTTGAAGTTTGTAATCTTTACACAATAAAATACACAGAGGACAGTAATGGTCCAGAGATTGGAGAGGTACAAAAACGTACCTATTGCGAAAGTTGTAAGAGAAAAGTATGTAAGTGAATCAACCAAGGAAAATTCAATAAAGGGAAAAAATATGTTAAACTGTAGAGTATGAGAAAGCTTCTGATGATCCCTAAACAGGTGAGGATCTTTTCACAGGTTTTCAGAGATTTCAGCTCCATCCATTTCCTCAAGTAAACAATTGCTATAAAGGCATTTATTTTAAATCCAACAAAGCACTCAGCCAACAGGACAACTGTAAATATCTTCGTCAGAAGTGAAATCCATTGTACAAACTGAGATCTCCCTTCTGGACAGGTAATGTATGTAGAGTGTAGAGTCCTGCAGTAGGCTGTGTGTAATGATCAGGATACGCTTAATGTTAGATAGAGAACTCGCTCCCGTTGCTCATGTAAATTTAAGAAAAGTGTTTCATTTGCATGTATTGCTTTTTCCTTGGAAAATATGACATGTGCTGTCTGACATTTTCATTCATAGTTCCATTCTCTCTGAGCTGTATTTACCACTTGCAAATGTGTCCCCTGTTAGTTAAATTGTAAAATTCTTGGAATGTACATAATACATACACATGCTTGGGATGAATATATAGATAAAAAAGGTATTATTATAATAACGGTAGCATAAGTGATACTGTATATACACTAGATTGACAAACGATTTGGGACGCCTGCCTTTCTACGCACATTATCTTTAATGGCATCCCAGTCTTAGTCTGTAGGGTTCAGTATTGAGTTGGCCCCGCCCTTTGATTTATAACAGCTTCAACTCTTCTGGGAAGGCTGTCCACAAGGTGTAGGAGTGTGTCTATGGGAAGGTTTGACCATTCTTCCAGAAGTACATTTGTGAGGTCAGGCACTGATACCGGACGAGAAGGCCTGGCTGGCAGTCTCCACTCTAATTCATCCCAAAGGTGTTCTGTTGGGTTGAGGTCAGGCCAGTCAAGTTCCTCCACTCCAAACTTGCTCATCCATGTCTTCATGAACCTTGCTTTGTGCACTGGTGCGCAGTCCTGTTGGAACAGAAGGGGCCATCCCCAAACTGTTCCCACAAAGTTGGGAGCATGAAATTGTCCAAAATATCTTGGTATATACTGATGCCTTAAGAGTTCCCTTCACTGGAACTAAGGGGTCAAGCCCAACCCTGAAAAACAAACCCGCACCATAATCCCCCCTTCACCAAACTTTACACTTGGCACAATGCAGTCAGGCAAGTACCGTTCTCCTGGTAACCGCCAAACCCAGACACAATTGCCAGACAGAAAAGCGTGCTCTAGAGTCTAGTGGTGGCGTGCTTTACACCATTGCATCGGACGCTTTGCATTGCACTTGGTGATGTAAGGCTTGGATGCAGCTGCTCGGCCATGGAAACCCATTCCATGAAGCTCTCTATGCACTGTTGCTGTGCTAATCTGAAGGCCACATGAAGTTTTGAGGTCTTTAGCTATTGACTCTACATACAGTTGGTGACTTCTGTGCACTGTGCGCTTCAGCATACGCTGAACCCACTCTGTCATTTTACGTGGCCTACAACTTGGTGGCTGAGTTGCTGTTGTTCCCAGTTGCTTCTACTTTGTTATAATACCACTAACAGTTGAGCGCGGAATATTTAGTAGCCAGGAAATGTCAACGATGGACTTATTGCACAGGTGACAACCTATCATGGTACTACGCTTGGAGTCATCCCAAAGGTGTTCTATGGGGTTGAGGTCAGGACTCTGTGCAGGTCAGTCAAGTTCCTCCACCCCAAACTCACTCATCCATGTCTTTATGGACCTTGCTTTGTGCACTGGTGCGCAGTCATGTTGGAACAGGAAGGGGCCATCCCCAAACTCTTCCCACAAAGTTGGGAGCATGAAATTGTCCAAAATGTCTTGGTACAAAACTTGAAGTCACTGAGCTCCTGAGAGCGACGCATTCTTTCACAAATGTTTGTAGAAGCAGTCTGCATGCCTAGGGGCTTGATTTTATACACCTGTGGCCATGGAGGGGATTGGAACACCTGAATCCAATGATTTGGAGGGCTGGCTCAAAGCTTTTGGCAATATACTGTAGTGTATCTCTTCAAAAAGTGCAACACATACCCATAAAATAAAGTGACAAAAAATAATTAATCTGCAAAACAATTTAGGTGTTATCAACAATAATATTATCATATGCTTGAAATTAAAGTATTACTCAGCAGCAATGTACCCTACTCAAAACAACTACTTTGTGTGTGAATGCAAAACCAGATTTTATCCTATTATGGTAAATGAATGCTTCCAATACTTAATATTTCTGTGCAATGTGACCTGTGCACAAAAAAACAATGAATGCATGGCAAACTCATGGGGCCCCGGGCAATAGGGGATCATGAGGCCCCTGTGTCCTTGCCCAAACTCAAAAAAGCCTATAGTACCAGGGGCATCTCATGGGGCCCCCTTGACCCTGGGCCCTTTGGCAAAGCCCGAGTTTCCAAATAGTCAGTCCGCCCCTGGATGTGCATAGTTGCAAAGTTGATATTTAATTCCTATCAAGGTAAGTTATTTAACCAATATTAAATATCCATGTGCAGTATTTATAATAAAAAAATAACACATACATATTCCATGTATTTATGTTAAAAACACATGTGAAAAAGAAAGAGTTCATGGTGAAAAAAAGTCCCAACTCCAAAAATGTAGTGATGATTATATTTTCTTGAATATGTGAAAGGTAACGCACTAGATTCCACCAGTGCACACCGCTCTGTGTAATGAAAAAATGATGGGGGGGCTTACCAGAAGGGTTTGACCACAATTTATAGAGTGGTCAAACACAGCTTTATACAAAAAAACCCCATCGGCTCTTGCTTCATCCAAGAGGTAAATAGCATACAGACATAAACAGTGATCTGATCCTCCATTCACCTCAGCAGCCTACAAGGGTTTAACCACTTCAAGTCCCCACTTTCACCCCCTTCCTGTCCAGGCCAATTTTCAGCTTTCAGTGCCATCACACTTTGAATGTAGCGGTCATGCTACACTGTTACCCATATTAATTTATAAAGATTTTTTTGAGACAGATACTTTTTTTGGTGGTATTTATTCACCACTGGGATTTTTATTTTTTTCTATATAAATGAGAAAGTCCAAAAATGTAGAAAAAAAGTGTTTTCTTATAAAATTTTGCAAAATAATCTTTCCTCATAAATCTTGGCCAAAATGTATTCATCTATCTTTTTAGTAAAAAAAAAACCCCCCCAAATTTTCACATTTGTTTTTACGTTTTTATTTTTTTTTATAATATTATTTATTTTTTTTTTTTTTAACATACTGCCACCCTAGCAGTACAGTGTCACCATAGTGACACTGGGATACTTGTGGGGGGGGGTGATGAAGGTTTTCTTTTTTCTTTTTTTACACTGATTGCTTTTACACCCATAAAGGCTGTAAAAGCAATCATTTCTCCTTCTCTCTGGCTGCATTCCTGCAGCCATTGAGAAATACTGTGAGAGCTGTGATTGGTCACAGCTTGTCACATGGTACAAGGCTTTTGTGAATAAGGCTTGTACCGTGTGACATCTGTGAATCATTCACATATTTCACAGGTAGTAAGCAATGATGTTAGAAGTGACATCTTGTTTACTACTATTTATGTGATCAATGATTGGCCAATCAGTGATCACATGATCGGGACCTCACACAGAGGTCCTGTACAGTGATCTGTGTCCCGCTGTGTGGCGGTTTTTGCGATCCCGGGCAATTAGAAATGTCCACCCGCATCGGCAGAGCTCCCTTCCGGCCGTTTATTGACATGGGCTGGATTCTAAGAGGTTAATCATCCAAGCCCGATATGTAAGAAATAAAACACGCTCTCCATAATGTTAAATCAGCCATCCAAAGATGTATTAGTTAAAATTGCACTTACTTAGCATAAAAGGATAAAACAGTGCTGTACATGACAAAATGTCAATGGCGCCCAAATACAATATGGCCTCCACTCAGCACGTATGCTTGGTGATGGCTCCTCCCAACGTGTTTCGCCTGATGTGACACTATCAGGGTTCGGGGATTAATTTTTTTGCAGATTCTTTTTTGTCACTTTATTTATGGGTATGTGCTGCACATTTTTGCAAAATTATTGGAATATCTGGTATCAGGGTATTCTGTTATCAGCTACATTTCTTAATAGGAACTAGTGCAGATTTTCTTTTCTCTGCATAAGTGATATATATATAGATGAAAAAAAAATCCACATGAACTACTTGGTCTTTTTCGGCCCAAACTATTCTGTGGTTCTGTCATTGTCAATTTCCTTCATTAAAGTGATTATATTTATTCATTAAAATAGTAAACAAGTTTATACTTACCTGTTCTGTGCAATGGTTTTGCCCTGAACCTGACTTTCTGGGGTCTCCCACTGGCACTCTGTGTTCCTCCCCTTCTGTGTCTGCCTCTATACTAGTCCGTTTGCTATGCTGAGCTCCACACTCCTGTCCCTCCTCGTTGGAGTTGATTGACAGCAGCAGGGGCCAATGGCTCCCACTGCAATCAGCACAGCCTGTAAGACCTGAAAGAGGGGAGAAATGCTGCAGCAGAAGGGCACAGCACTGGATTGATACAGGGTTCAAGTAAGTGTTAGGGAGGGGGGCAGACAGTGCAAGAGGTAAAAAACCTTTAGCATTTACAACCACTTTAAAGCATCATTAAAATTAGATTCTCTCAGGCATTGGCTGAGGTGCTTAAAATTTTCTACAACAATCTGATTCCTCTTGAGCTAAACTTTTTATTTTGTTGAAGAATTATGGGCTAAGTGGCTCTATCACATACCTGGTAAAGGCTGAAATGTTTTGGGAGATTCTCTTGCATCTCTTGCCCAACACTCCTGAAGGTGAAGACAGAGAATACAGTTGCAAGAAAAAGTATGTGAACCCCTTGGGATTACATGGAGTTTTGCATGAATTGGGCATAAAATGTGCTCTGAACGTCATCTAAGTCACAACAATAGAAGAACACAGTCTGCTGAACATAATACTACACAAACATTAGATGTTGCCATGGTTTAATTGCACATAACATGTAAACATTCACAGTGCAGGGAGGAAAAAGTATGTGAACCTTTGGACTTAATAACTGGTTGACCCTCCTTTGGCAGCAATAACCTCAACCAAAACGTTTCCTGTAGTTGCAGATCAGACCTGCACAACGATCTGGAGTCATGTTGGACCACTCCTCTTCACAAAACTGTTTCAGTGTAGCAATATTCTTGAGATGTCTGGTGTGAATCGCTCTCTTAAGGTCATGCCACAGCATTTCAATGGGGTTGAGGTCAGGACTCTGACTGGGCCACTCCAGAAGGCGTATTCTGTGCTGTTGCAGCCATTGTTTTGTTGAATGACTTGTATGCTTTGGGTCATTGTCCTGTTGCATCACCCATCCTCTGCGGAGCTTCAGTTGGCGGACAGATGGTCGTAGGTTTTCCTGCAAAATGTCTTGATAAACTCTGGAATTTCATTTTCCCATCAATGACAACAATCCGTCCAGGCCCTGAGGCAGCAAAGCAGCCCCAAACCATGATGCTCCTCCGCCATGTTTTACAGTGGGGATGAGGTTTTTGATGTTGGTGTGCTGTGCCTTTTTTTCTCCACACATAGTGTTGTGTGTTCTTCCCAAACAACTCAATCTTGGTTTCATCTGTCCACAGTATATTTTGCCAGTAGTGCTGTGGAACATCCAGGTGCTCTTTTGCAAACTTCAAACGTGCTGCAATCTTCTTTTTGGACAGCAATGGGCTTCCTCCGTGGTGTCCTCCCATGTACTCCATTCTTGTTTCAAATGTTTTCCTTATGTAGATGTGTCAACAAAAATGTTAGCATGTGCCAGAGATTTCTGTAGGTCTTTAGCTGACACTCTGGGATTCTTCTTTACCTCATGCAGCATTCTGCGCTGTACTCTTGCAGTCATTTTTACAGGACGACCGCGCCTAGGGAGAGTAGCAAACAGTGCTAAACTTTCTCCATTTGTAGACAGTCTGTCTTACTGTGGACACATGAACATCAAGGCTTTTGGAGATACTTTTGTAACCCTTTCCAGCTTCATGCAAGTCAACAATTCTTGATGGTAGGTCTTCTGAGAGCTCTTTTCTGCGAGGCATGGTTCACATCAGACAGTGCTTCTTCAAACCAGTAAACCCAAAACATGTGTGTGTTTTTTAAGGGCAGGACAGCTGTCAGCAACACATCCAATATCATCACACTGATTGGAGTCAAGGTTGGCTCACTCCTGGCTCCAATTAGCTCTGGAAGAAGTCATTAAACTAGGGCCTCACATACTTTTTCCTCCCTGCACTGTGAATGTTTACATGTTATGTGCAATTAAACCATGGCAACATCTAATGTTTGTGTAGTATTATGTTCAGCAGACTGTGTTCTTCTATTGTTGTGACTTAGATGACGTTCAGAGCACATTTTATGCCCAATTCATGCAAAACTCCACGTAATCCCAAGGGGTTCACATACTTTTTCTTGCAACTGTATAAAGGCACACATCAGTGCCCAGCAGTGCCACCCATCAGTGCTGCCCAGCAATTGCGCCCATCAGTGCCCATCAGTGCTTCACAGCAGTGCCACCCAGTAGTGCTGCCAGTCAGTGCTGTCAGTCAGCGCCACCCGTCAGTGTTGCCAATCAGTGCTGCCTATCAGTGCCCATCAGTGCAGCATATCAGTGCAGCAGCATCAGTGTCTCCTCATCAATGCCATCTAGTGCCACCTCATCAGTGTCACCTCATCAGTGTAGTCTATCAATGCCCATCAGTGCTGCCTACCCATGCCACCTCATCAGTACCCATCAGTGCTGCCTATCAGTGCCACCTCATCAACGCACATCAGTGAAGATGAAAATTACCTGTTTGCAAAATGTTATAATAGAAATAAAGAAAAGCTTTTTTAAATTTTTTTTTTGCTATTTTATTGTTTATAGCGCAAAAAAC